TTAATTCAAGACTGTTTTGGACTATTGGGAGACAATCATTATCGACCATTATCAAAAGACATGTTATTGTTTATGTTGCGAATCGATCAAACGAAATTATGGAAACAAATGAATGTACTGCTTGAACTGATTTCTTGTTGTAAATGCAAAAATTATCTTTATCACACACTTCTCTTTAAAAATCTGAACAATAAATGTCTGTAAAATTGCAGGAAAATTCAATACGGTGATGGAAATCGTTTCTTATGATTCAACAATCGCATGTTGAGCACAAATTACAATGCAATATTTTTATAGTATTTTCTCGTTGATTTTCTATTTTCTTTGCGAAATATCAAATACAGTACAAGTTTAAGTTCGAAGGATTAAATAATTAAAAAAAGGGATTTGAAGAATCATAGACTGTTTTTTAGCAACTCTCTTATATCTTCCCCGTCCTGCATTAAGTCATTGTTCTTTTCGTTTCACGGTCATCATCGTCATCGTAAAAATCATCCTCCCATTCGTCCCCAATTTTAATGCAAAAGTTATGCAGCACTGCACAAGCAATGGCAATCTTCACAGAAAAAGTTATTCTGCTATCCAACCGCTTTTGTAGAATTCGCCAACGACTTTTAAGGCAGCCAAAAGCGCACTCGATCGTTACTCGTGCAGACAACAGTTCCTTGTTAAATGTTATCTCGCCAGGGTCACGCGTCTCTTCAGGATAAGGCTTCATAAGCCAGGGGGAAATGGGGTATGCGCTGTCTCCTACCAGGTAAGGCTGAATATCTGTGATGCCGATTCTTTCAACGGGTTCCTTGAGTATATCTCCGTTGCTTGCTCTTAGATAAAGCGAGCTGTTTCGATATACCCTAGCGTCGTGGATACTTCCCGGATAACCCGCTGCAAAGTCAAGAAATAATCCCTTACCGTCAGCAACGGCCTGAATAATGAAATCATGTTGCTGATTTCGACTAAAATAATCAACAGCACTGTCTCTAGGAGCAACTATTTTGATATGAGTGCCATCTATGGCCCCAACAATGTTTGGAAGTCGTGATTTGTCCGTTAATGTCTCTATAAACCTCATTGTCTCGGCCACTGTTGTTGGGAATTCGATGTACTCATTCCTTAAGTCATAAAGAGCCTCAACCACGTCTTGACAAGCCTCTATTGCTGTAGTTCTGCCGACGTTTAGCGCAGGTCCTATTGTTTCGTATGAATTTCCGTGTGCAAGGCTGTGCTGTATTCGATTTACGTTTACATTAATTCAGCCTCGCTTCCGTTCATGATTCGATGTATGATCACTTCCGGTAATGGCGACGACACATGTTAGAAGTTATTAAAAGTTCTGTGTTGAAATCAAAGAATATATCTCCGTTTCTCGTGCCATCCGAACACCACATGGTGTCAGGAGTGAACAAGAAGATATAAACTGTGTCCAGAACGGATATTTAGCGATCAGTGATCAGGAATTACGCGGAAATATGGCTACGAATCTTCCACCACCGAAAGCTCTTTGTCTATCAGGAAATGCAAGTGAGAATTTCAAGTTGTTCAAGCAGCAGTACGAATTATATGTGAACGCCATTGGATTATCTACTGCCAGTAAGGAAAGGAGAAGTGCTATACTGCTAAATCTCGCAGGTGAGGAGGCGCTGAAAATCTACAATGGCTTCACATGGGCTCCAGTGGTAGGTGACCCCGAAGGGGAGGAACATGTACCAGCAGAGGACAAACTGGATCCGGAATTAATTCTGGAGAAATTCCAGAGGTTCTGCACGCCGAAAACAAATGTTACTTATGAACGTTACAAGTTTCACAGGTATACGCAATCAGAAGGTGAGAGTTTCGATAATTTCTTATCACAAATTAACACTCTCGTGTCTACGTGTGCCTACGGTGAACTAAAGGACGATTTTGTCAGAGATAAGATCGTATTGGGTATAAATAGTGATAAGGTCAGAGCACGGCTGTTGAGAGATGGTGAACTGACTTTAGAAAAAGCGATAAATGAGTGTAGAGCAGAAGAGTGTTCTGGAAGGTGGGCTCAGGATATAAAAGGAGAGACTTCTAAAGTGCAGGCAGTTCAACATAGGCGGAAAGGAGGCCCTCGTGACAAGGGACCACGTAGTAACGGGCAGCAAAGAAGTGCATCAAATTGCTCCCAGGCGTCGAATAGCCGGTCATGCCGGTGGTGTGGAAAGGAGGTGCACCCCAGAGAAAGATGCCCTGCCAAAGACAGTAAATGTAACAAGTGCAAACGCCCAGGACATTGGGGCAAGGTCTGCAGGAGTAGTAAAGGAAAAGGGTCTGTACAAGAGGTAGCAGAAGTGCAGTCTGACTCAGATGAGTACTACTTCTTAGGAAGCATCAGTGATGAAAGTTACTCTATTGAGAGTATCAACAACAGGAAACGTAGGAGTGCATGGTTTACGGAAGTCCAGGTGTCAGGTCAGAGCCTGAAATTTGTTGTTGATACTGGAGCAGATGTGACAGTCATTTCCAAAGCTGTGTATGATACACAGTTTTCACACTTCATTTTGCAGAAGCCTGACAGGCCTCTTAGTGGCCCAGATCAAAGCAACCTTTCAACTCTTGGATTCTTTACTGCAGAACTAAAGAAAGGTGATCAGACAATCACAGAGGATATATATGTGTTCCCCAAAGGCTCTTTATTGCTAGGTAGAGACGCTTGTGCAGATCTAGGTGTCGTTAAGTTCATTGGAAAAGTTACGTCAGATCCTATCCAGTCAGCGGAGTTCGGATCAATGTTCAAAGGCTTAGGAAAGCTAGAAGGAGAATATTAGATTAAGATCGAGCAAAACGCAGAGCCATACAGTGTGATGACTCCCAGGAGGATATCTATTCCACTACTTCCTCTAGCCAAAGCTGAACTTGACAAGCTTATCGAGCTAGATGTTATAGAACGGTGCACAGAACCATCGGAATGGTGTTCTCCTATGGTCGTGGTGCCTAAAGGAAATGGCAAAGTGAGGATCTGTGTGGATCTCACGAAGCTTAACGAAGTAGTGAAGAGAGAAAGAATCATGCTCCCCACAGTGGATTATACAATTGCTCTGATGGGAGGTGCTAAGGTTTTCTCTAAACTGGATGCCAATGCGGGCTTCCACCAAATCTGCTTGGATGAAGATTCAAGGAAACTGACCACGTTCATCTCACCATTTGGTCGATTTCGATATAAGCGAATTCCCTTCGGTATCAAATCTGGCCCTGAGAAGTTTCAGAGTGAGATCTACCGAATACTAGGTGGTCAACAAGGTGTGGTATGTCTCATGGATGACATTGTCATGTTTGGAAAGAACCAGGAGGAACATGACGAGAGACTCGTACAGACATTAACACGGCTGAAAGCAGCAGGTGTCACCTTGAATAAGGATAAGTGCCAATTCAGCAAAAGCCAGATTGACTTTCTAGGTCATCGGATCGGAGTTAATGGTGTGGAAAGCTCTCCAGAGAAGGTTGAGGCTATATTGAAAATGCGTGCTCCAGAGAATGTGAGTGAGGTAAGAGGTCTGATGGGTACAGTGAACCAGCTCATGAAGTTTGTACCCAACCTTGCTACTATGACACAACCTCTACGTGAACTCTTGAGCTCTCACAGTGCATGGTGCTGGGGTCCAGCACAGGAACAGGCTTTTAAAGAGATTAAACAATGCTTGACGAGCAGCCCAGTGTTGCAAATATATGATCCTTCACTAGAGACCAAGGTGTCAGCAGATGCGTCTTCATACGGACTTGGCAGAGTGCTTTTGCAAAAGCACGGTGACAGGTGGGCGCCAGTGGCGTATGCGTCCAAAAGCCTTCTGGATGTAGAGAAAAGGTACGCCCAGATTGAAAAGGAGGCCTTAGCTAGTACCTTCGCATGTGAACGATTCACAGATTACATTCTGGGAAAGGATATTATACTAGAGACTGATCATAAGCCTCTTGTACCACTGCTATCCACGAAGGAGTTGGATCAACTACCCGTACGTATTCAACGAATGAGAATGAGGCTCATGAGATACTCGTTCACACCTGTTCATGTGCCAGGAAAACTGTTGTACACTGCCGACACGCTATCCCGTTCTCCAACACCAGCCAAATCAGGTGATTCATTTCATGAGGAAGTGAACTTATATGCTCATCAAGTCATAGCTGGAATGCCTATCAGTGATAGCAAATTAGATGATATTATGATCCATCAACAGGAGGATGAAGCATGCAGGCAAATTATGAACTATGTAGCTGAAGGTTGGCCTGAAAAACATAATGTCAAGGGTTTAGTTAGCCCTTATTTTGCTCATAGAGCAGAGCTGACAGTGGTTAAAGGGCTGTTGATGATGGGACCTCGAGTCATTATACCATCGTCTATGAAATTGGAAGTCCTGGATAAGATCCACGACGGTCACCAAGGGATTGTCAAGTGCAAGGCATTGACCAGAAACACAGTGTGGTGGCCAAGCATGATGAAGAATATAGAGGAGTTAATTGAAAACTGTCGCAAGTGTCAGTCTAACAGGAAAAATCCTCCAGAACCTCTAGTTCCTACCATGCTCCCACAACGACCATGGCAATACATAGCCACCGATGTCTATGAACTCAATAAAAGACTGTATTTAGTAATGATTGATTACTACTCCAGATGGATAGAGGTAGCTAGTCTGAGTTCAACCGCCTCAGCAGAGGTCATAGACAGGATGAAACGTGCATTTTCCAGATTCGGAATTCCAGATCAAGTAAAATCTGACAATGCCAGCTACTATACATCAAGGGAATTTAAGATGTTCACTTTAGATTACGGGTTTCGACATGTCACTAGCAGCCCAGGTCATGCTTCAGGCAACGGTGAAGCAGAGAGAGCAGTGCAAACAGCTAAACGTCTCCTAGCTGGCTCTCAAGATCCTTATCTTGCTTTGCTACAGTATAGAGCGACACCATTGGCTAATGGTTATTCTCCAGCTGAGCTAATGATGTCAAGGAGGCTAAAAACCAAAGTGCCGGTGGCCCCGTCTCAGCTGTCCCCAAACCTTGTGCAGAATCATGCCCTACGTCAGTTTGAAGACAATCACAAAACCAAACAGAAGCTGCACTTTGACAGAAGGCATTCAGCGAGGCCTCTTGTTCCCTTAGAGAAGGGAGATGAAGTGATGGTACAAGACAGAGGACAGTCTGGAATAGTAGTGGAGAAGTGCACACCTTGTTCTTATGTGATCCATACGGACACTGGGTCATATAGAAGGAATAGAGTATAGATCAACAAGATACCACCCCCACCCCCAGCTGCAGCTACATCTCCAGCCAAACCCACACCGGTGCCAGTACCTCCATCACCTAAACTTCCTTCACCCCAAACTGCTAACACTGCAGAAGGAACTGGCACATCAAAAGTGTACACCAGATCTGGCCGTCAATCTAAGCCCTCATCTAGATTGAAGGATTATGTGCCATAAGTGAAGTTATACTTTCTGGCCAGATTTTCTCTGGTTTCTCAGACAGAAAGTCATAACTATGAACCATATTCTAGTGTGTGTGAGACTTAGTGCAGAGACAAACGACAATAGCTACCCAGGATGTGTTTCTTAACAAAATGACGATTACTTGAGGACATTTGATTGACGTTGTTTTGATTTTGAATTTCATGCTAGATAAGTAACAAGTAAGTGTCTAAGTAGTTTCTCTTTTATTACCTTAAAGGGGGAGATGTGCTGTATTCGATTTACGTTTACATTAATTCAGCCTCGCTTCCGTTCATGATTCGATGTATGATCACTTCCGGTAATGGCGACGACACATGTTAGAAGTTATTAAAAGTTCTGTGTTGAAATCAAAGAATATATCTCCGTTTCTCGTGCCATCCGAACACCACAAAGGCGAAGCAAACCACAAGCAAGGACCTTTTCAGGAGTGAGGCAATTTCGCAGAACTGTATTCTGTCTCGTCAGCCAGTTACGAATTACGTTGAGCAACAAATCAAAGCTTTCTCTGTTCATTCGTAAGAGCCTTCGAAAGTAGTCCCCAGGTATTGTTCGATCAGTATAATGGATCTCGAACCACGATTCGACTGGACGAGGAAGAGTCCAATAGTATGGTGCTCGTCTTCGATAACGATTTCGTTGTCGGCGAATACATCGTGTCACTAGAATGTTTTGTGCACGTAAATTCTGCATTAATAACAGACAACATATCATTAAATTGATATTGATATTTGCTTGCTGATGAAGAACCAGAAAATAGAAGAAAAATATTATTGCTAGAATTCTTCGTGGAAACATTTTGAGATCCCTCGTGTCGCGGTTTGTGGATTGAAACAGCGGGTAAAGGCTGCTTCGCGGGAAATTGCGTGACGCTCACAGCATGGTGTGATGTTTTGTTCACAGATTTTGTTCTCAAGTGCGACTGTAGCTTTCCGGACAAATTTTTTGTCACTGGCCGATTTCAAGTCAGATTTGTCCTGGACAAATCTGAAATTGTCCTCTAGTGCGACTTGGCCCTTATAACCGAATAACTACGGTAACTTGAAAAAGAGAAAGATGATGTTTCTGTCCACTAGCCTCTAAAATAACATTTGTAAATAGTTTGTAAATTGCATATAGGGTTGTATTTCTATTACCAATCTCTGTTACATTTTTATACAATATCCTTTTATAGTCCAATATTATTGGTTTTTATATTGTAGATTTCACACTTTTTTATATTGCAGTTTTCCATTTTTATATGGTAGTTCTTAATAGGTAAAGAGCCATTAGGTGGATAAACTATTAATAAACCATTATTATTATAATTTGTGTGTGTGTGTGCACTATTGTAAGCTTCTTAGGATGGAGTTCTTGTTGTTATGAATGGTGTCCTTAGGAATGGGCTGCAGGCATACCCACTGTCCCTAAGAAGAAAACCATCATCGAGAGAGCGATGGTTGTTTTGCAATTAACTGCAAATGTTACTGGTCCAGAATACGTGGCTATCATGAGTACTTCCTGGCCAGCAGGAAAGAACATTGGTAAATATGCCTTCAAATTAAACAATATTTTTGTAAAGGTTAGAGCTTGGTCCTCCTTGAATGTTTTGGTTTGTGTATGAATTTTATCTCAAATGTCTACAATTTTTTTTTCTTTAGGAAGTCTTGCTACTCAAATTTGAAAGTGCCTGACAAGTCTTGTCCAGGAATGACACAGGAGAGAGAGTTACGTGTGCCCCGCAGCAGTCGGGAAGACTTAGCTGGCCCCCCAAGAGCTTTAGCTGATTATGTACTGTCTTAACAAGGTATGAAACTGTGTAACAAATAATTATCAATCAATAATCATGTACAAGGGGATTAAAAATCCTTTACACGACACCAGACAGTCAGCCAACTACACCAAAGCATTCTGTGTCTATAGGAAACTATTTAGAGTCCATCGAAAAATTATCAACTTAAATCTACTTCAAATCCCATTTCTGGTCAATATCCCCAGAAATGTTAGAGACTGATTTTACGCACACCTTTATTTTCCTAAACATTTTTACACCTACATGCAATCACCTAGAACTTGTGAAAAATTAATTGGACCTCTGTGTGTAGGATAAGGGATTGCATTTGTGAAACCTCAGAGAGATGTAAGGAAAAAAGGACAAGTACAAAAAAAGTAAGCAATCTTTAAAAAAATTTCTCAACTTAGCACAATTAGCAAAGTTACGAGGATCACCATGTGGTACCCTTGGAAAATGTTGAAATATTCTACCACATGATCAACCATTCATCTTCTTTAGGCCAACACCTACCTCAGCAGAGTTAAGGGGCCCTCTGGTTGAAATTTGGTAAAATTGAAAAATTTTTCGCCCAAATTTTTTTTTGGAAAAATATTTACTTGACTCTATCTAGATTTTGAATATGTTGCTTGTTTTTACATAAATTACTTTGCAGAGTCAAAAAGTGGCCTTCTTTGAACGTTGTTTTTCCGTTGCCATGGTAACCAATTCAAAACAAGAGCCTTTTTCCCGAATTATTTTTGAGGCGTTAACGCTGTTCCACAGTCCTGAGTTTGGAAACAGACCGTAGTTCATTCCAGATTCCTAGAAGTTACTTTTGAGGCCTGGTTACTGAGTTACAAGGAGCTCTAACGAATTTTGTCCAAGTCACTTTTGTTGATCTATGCGTAGCATTTCACAGTTTATTGATTCAGTTTATAAAGGGTTAAATTATGCCGAAGCTAGGGAAAAAGCAGTCTGTTTTAAAGCAGGGAATTTCAAGAAAGCGTAAAGGGTTCAAAGGAGTTCAAAAACAAGCGAAAAGAGCGGCAAGCGCAACGAGCGAACGAAGGGTAAATATCACGTTCGTCGGTGAAGATGACGTGGTAAGCGAAATGATTCCACCGCCTGCAATCCCGGTTTCTGCGCGAAAAATCGGCGCTTGTGCTATTGATACGTCTCTGTGGGATGAAAGTATTCCAGATGATCTGGAAATTGCTGAAGGATATTGTGCCTCCGCGAAACATGCTATCATGGAGAAGGTTGGGCTCACTGTGAGTGATACTGCCAAAATGGAAGCTAGGAGAAGGGATTCAGAGAGAATTAAACAAGCAGAGAAGAGAGTGCAAGATCAGCACAAGAAATACAGAGTTACCAGGAGACAGGCTAAACAGCATAATGAAGATCTAAGGATTCGTGGCGAGGGTGTAACTTATGCAGCTGGAGCTTTTGGAGAAATAGAACCTTGTAATGGACCCAAAAAGAGGAAAACTACTCAGAAGACCAAAAAATAACTTTAGGGATATTTCTTTTAAAGCAGTTCTACCAACACACTGTGTTTTTTTATTGTAAAAGCTAACTTGAACCCATGTTTCCATAACATTTCCTTTTAAATCACATTTCCTGCAAATATGGGTTTTTCATGATTATTTGGGTGCCCCCTTAAATTTCTCAGGATGTATTTGTGCTAACAGCTCCGAATTTGCCACAAATATTTGAGACATAACATACTACAAACCTATTGAGCAAAATTCAGTTTGACTGAAAAGTGTTGAAGTTTTGAGGAGTTAATCTTTTCTTGGAATGAATTCGTTGCCATGGCAACATTAATGATTGAAACCCGATTTTGCTCAATAGGTTTGTAGTGCTTTCTAAGTAGATCCATGATGCTTAAAACCAGCCCAATTGGATGTATTTTGAGCTTTGAATTTGAGGGGGCAGAAGAATAGTTTAAAATGATAGAGTTTTTGTTTTTGTTTATTATTTACTAGGAATAAACAAACCTGGTCAACTTTACTTGTTGGCTGGTAGGTACTGGGTCATGTACTTGCCTCCTGCCAATTTTCAGCAGTTTACTATTAATGATTATGATTCTGTGACTGTTCTAGTTATGACCTTCTTTACTGTTGGATTTCAACCAGAGGGCCCCCAATTTCAGTAGCAGAAATGAAAGCATTGTAATCTGGATAGGTGCACCTGACCAGGAGAGTCCAAATTGTGTTTGGATCCCAAACATATGCAAGTTCTGCAAACCTTGTTCCATCCCCAGTTTCATGCTTCACTGGCCCCCCAACCATCTTTCAACTCATCAGCAAGCAAGTGGACACATTGCTACTAATGGCCAGTCATTTTCTGGCTCATTTCTGGAGAGGAGCTCTAGTTCTTTTACTTCATCTGATAGGCCCAAGAAGTAGTATGAGATTGTTCCTGAATTACCACAATAGGGTCAAGGTTCATCTCTTGATTGCGTCAACCCATAGTGACTTAAACTGTCATTACCAAAACAAATCCGGTAATGTTTTGGTTCAGAAAAATCCAGTTCTTTCAGTAAAGTTTGTACATCACACCACTTTTTGGCTAGTGAGCAACAGCATCCTTATTTCCTGTTTCCATAATAGATATTATTTTTCAAAACTGTAATGTTCATGATAGGTCAGTGGTTATTTCGTTCAGTGATCCGGGCATTTGTTTTTCTTTAAGAGATATATAACAAGATCACATGTGGTAACCAAGTTTTGTGTTTACCGAAATCAAAGCTGTTTTCTGGAGTAGTTCTTGCCTGTTTTCTGCTGTGGACATTATAATAACTTAAAGTCTTTTGATGTAAAATGAAGTTATAAAGTTCCAGTGTAGAGCATTCATGATATCATCACAATGGATATTATGGGGTAGATTGTAAATAATTCTGTTTGCTAGTAAATGAACTCGATCAATATCATCTATTAATAATGAAAAACAAAACCCCTAAATTACAATGAGGTACAAAACACTAGGGATAATTGTTTTGTAATAAACAGTTTCAAAGATTGGTTTCCGTAAAAATTTTATCTGTTTTAAAACTGCCACTTTCTTGCTGAACGACTTAAAAATATTCACAATGTGCTCTTGGCATGCCCATGAAAGCTTGTTGTCGATTGTTTACCCAAGACATTTAGATGATAGTTTTTACTCAATGGTACCATTACTGTATTTCCAGTGTGGTGAGGGGTCAATAAAGTTCTGATTCAATTATCAAAGTCCTCAGTGCTTCAGACTTCAATTTGTGGGCTATTAATCTGTCAGACTGACACCAATGTTCACAAGCCTCTCCCATCACCTATTGTGCAAGACACTGCCCGAAAAGTAAACAAACTGGTTAATAAACTACACTAATTGGGATACATCAACCAAAAGACTCACAATTAGCTTTAAACAACCACGTATACCAGAATTTTACATGCTGAGTAAAATCCGTAAGAAAACACCCGTTGGTACACCAATCGTCTCTGGGAGTAGGGGTCCAACAGAACATATTTCTAGTTTTGTAGACTCCCTAATACAACCTATTGCCATAAAATAAGAGTCCTATATAAAAACACTATGGACTTTCTCAATTTTATCGAAAACACGCAAATTCCAGATGATGTGGTCCTAACCACACTTGATGTTAGTCTTTCTACACCCACAGTCATCAAGAAGAAGGAATTGATATTGTTTACCACTATTACAAAGATCACTATAAGCAGAAATTACCTTTCCCTACAAGTGATTTATGGGAGCTAATGTGGTTTATGCTTAAAGAAAATTCTCTCAATTTGAATGAAAAACACTTTATACAAACTCATGGCACCGCTATGGGAACTAAAATGGCAGTCACTTTTTCTGTTATTTTCTTGGCAGACCTAGAGAAATGACTGGTATTAGCTAGTCCACTTAGACCATTCATCTGCAATAGGGTGGAACATTCCAACAGAGGAAATTTTAATTTTTGTAGACTTCGCCAACTCATTCCACCCCACAATCAAGTCTACTTCTGAAATGTCACGTGAACACACTGTTTTTCTTAGCACAAAGATATTTAAAGGACCTCAACTCTTAAAATTCTCGATTCACAAACCCACATCAAGCTCACTGAAACTTTTCAGAATACTCACTTCTCATCCTGTCACCCTTTTAAAACAAAAAAAGGTTTTATCAAAGGAGAAGCACTGTCTGTTAAGAACCAACTCAGTAAAGGAGAATTTTGATAAACACAAACGAGATCTTCAGCAAAGACTTAGAGGCTATCCTGTGACTTTTATGCATAAAATCCATACTGGAGTTCAGTTCTTCAGAACAAAGACCCTTTGTAACAAAACAAAGAAGGCGAAAGAAATTTTACCGTTTGTTACCATGTATAACCCGGCCACACCAAATCTTTAAAAGGTTCTCATGGAACACTGGCACATCATTCAACAGGAGCCTAGACTTGCACATATCTTTTAACCAGCCACCCATTGTATCTTACAGGAAGGAAAAATCAATCATGCTGCAATCATAAAAACATGCAATCAAAGAAGCACCTTCAAAAGGTTTGTTTTCAACTCAGAGGAAATTTACATATGATCGTTTTCTGCTAGCAACAAGCTCAGCTGACCGCAACTCAGCTGAGCCAACAAAGCTAGCCCCAGACCATTCCTTTGAACCTTTTTAGTTGATCATTCATGGCGACAGGGGAAGTTGACGACTCGTAAACTTTATTGAAAACTAATATAGCTTGTAGTGTCAAGATGATATTGTCAATGTTCTTGCCAATTAAATTGTAACAATAAATAAGCTTGTATTGTAACAATTGTGGTATCATTAGCAAACATGAATAAATCACCACTTGTTATCAATTCTGTAAGGTTGTTTACAACAATTTGGGCCCAAATATTGAACCTTGGGAAACTCCTTATGTGATGGTTTTGGACCTGGACTGATATCCTGATACTTGGACAAACTGTTTACGTGCAGACATGTAATCATCAAGCCATGAAAGCAGGTCACCAGCACAAGGAAAAGCCAAGGGAAGAGCCGAGGGATTGCTGAAGGAGAGTAGAGGGAGAGTCCATTCAAATGTTAAATACTTGAGCAAACTATGCTAGTATTTCTTTCAAAGTTTATTTTATAACTAACCTAAAGAGGGGAGAGGCAAGGGAAGACCTATCCACATGCTAAATGCCTGGGCAAACAACACTAGTATTTCTTTCAAAGCTTTATTTCAACACTGACCCAGGATTACAGTATCTAAACTGACTAAAATATAATGTTCAAAATCTAAACTGAAA